CCTGTCATTCTAGATAAAGAATCCTCACAAATGATACTCTAAAATTCAATGTTACAGAAAACCTAATGCACAAATCTTCATTCCTCTTACACTTTTGTTGGATCTGTTAGAAGTATGTGAAAGTGGTAAAAATGAAGCCACTGTTTTTCTTCTTTTTATTTTTTAATAATGACCCTTTAGCAGGAAAACTAGCACACTATCTGACAGCATTAATCGCTTGTTATACCAGACTCATGCTATCTCTAGCATCTTCTATCTGATAGAATTGACACACTTTTTCTGATGGTTCCTAAATACTGTTATATCACCTGCAGATATCAAAAGAGGTTAATTGCATAATGATTTCTGAGAATACAGTACTCTAGCACTCTGTTTTCTAAACCATGTAATGAACTAAAATACCAAAATATCAAGATTACAAATGGATGTTTGTTAAGATTACTATTTTGGAATTTTAGTTAGGTGGTTATTGACCAAGAAAAGTAAATATGTTATACTGCTGGTGTTTTTATTACACCTTTTATATAAATGTTACTAATAACATACTAGGAAAATAGACTTCACTAAATTTAGTTATCCAGAATAGTTATTGATTTTATAGGTTTTTTGTTTATAATTATATGTTATAGATTATTTACTGCATTTGTGGCTAAATGAATGCTGAATTGTATATTACTATTTTATTTTGGTATATACTTGTTTTTGATTGCTACTGCCTTTTATTATTCAGTACAAGCACTACATTAAAACCATAAAGATGTAAATCAAACAAGATAAATACAATTTTTGTGTTGGATTTCCCTAGTTTTTCCAATTTTAAAGTCAAGGTCTGTTTTGAAAGGGAGGACTTTTTAAATTCAATGTTTGTATAATTACATCTAGACCCAAAAGGTTCTATTATACTCTGATTTTGTTGTATTTAAGTACAATGACAATAAATATTTACTTATATTTATTTAGTGAAAATAGATAGAATGTCTGAGTTTATACAGCTTGCTTAACTAGGTTTCTAACTTTACTTACTTCCTGGGATTATATAATATACTGAATGATAAATGAATAAAATTAACATATATTGTACTGCATGCCAGGATATATAGACAAATATATGATAAGTAGAATAGAATAGAATAACAGAGTTGGAAGGGACCTTGGAGGTCTTCTAGTCCAACCCCCTGCCTAGGCAGGAAACCCTACACCACGTCAGACAAATGGTTATCCAACATCTTCTTAAAGATTTCTAGTGTTGGGGCATTCACAACTTCTGTAGGAATGGAAACTGGTTAATTATTCTAACTGTCAGAAAATTTCTCCTCGGTTCTAAGTTGCTTCTCTCCTTGATCAGTTTCCACCCATTGCTTCTTGTTCTACCCTCAGGTGCCTTGGAGAACAGCTTGACTCCCTCTTCTTTATGGCAGATCCTGCAATATTGGAAACTGCTATCATGTCTCCCCTGGTCCACCTTTTCACTAAACTGGGCATTCCCAGTTCCTGCAACTGTTCTTCATATGTTTTAGCCTCCAGTCCCATAATCATTTTTGTTGCTCTTCTCTGCATTCTTTCTAGAGTCTACACATCTTTTCTACATCGTGGCGACCAAAGATGGATGCAGGATTCCAAGTGTGCATCTGGTTCATGAAATTTGATTGTTTTTCCTTTCTTGACCTCTGCAATTCTGCAGGAGGT